ATATATTCACACATCCCCATGTATTTGTGTGTGTGTGTGTGTGTGTTTATCATCTTTCCTGTAAGAGCAGCTTCAGGAATTGAACTGTCATCTCATGGAAGGGAGTAATCTAAACATCTAGAACATTTAGAATAATTTAAACACACACACACACACACACACAGTAAACGAACAGTCACCTTCTTCCTTCTTCCTTCTTCTACACACTGGGTGATGATTTGACTCTCATCACCCTGCTGCTTTATTGTCACAGCTGTAGTCAGGTTCCAGATTCTTATGTAAACAAACAAACAAACAAAATAGACCTAACCCTAGATAGATAGATAGATAGATAGATAGGTTTGTGTAAATTGAGCTGAAGAAGGCAGGTTGTGATAATATTGGGTATGTAAGAAATGTAACAGATGCTAAATATTAGATAGATAGATAGATAGATAGATAGATTGTTTGGTTGATTGATAGATAGATAGATAGATAGATAGATAGATAGATAGATAGATTGATTGATTGGTTGATAGATAGATAGATAGATAGATGGAATTGTGTGACGATGAGCTGAATATGGCAGGTTTTTATGTTAATACTGGGTTACCTAAGAAATGTAAAATAACGCTAAATACTAGTTATGATAGATAGATAGATAGATAGATAGGTAGATAGATAGATAGATAGTGAGGGGAAAAGTTTAGTCTGGTGTTCATCACGAAGGGGATAAAGTTCTATTACCCTATAATGAAGTTTATACAAATGAAACTTCCACTGGCCGTGAGCAAAAACCATGCCCTATAGTCGAGTCCATCTCATATAAAAGAAAATAATAAATAAAATAATAAAAGAAACTCTTAACTGGCAAACCTATTCCTGATGTAATTATATTAGTGTTTGATAAATGATGAATTTCAGCCCTTTGTAGCGCTCACCGAGTTTCAGAGCCGACTGTCTGCTACAAAACCTCTGGATTTGAAGTCCCCGGTGCACAGCGTGTAAGGCTTCGTTAACTTTTCTTTTTATCGAGTCCATGTCGATTGATTTCACTACGGACGCAAGCCGCCTTTTTTGGGGGGAAGAAGGTGGATTCGCACAAAGCTGCTTTCACAGCTTGATTGACGTGACGCATGAAGCTTTAATTAAAATTTCACCCGAACGTCTAATGGAAAGTCCTTCGGGAACTGTGCAGAGAGCGAGAGAGAAAAGAAGAAATTCACCAAATCTCTTCTTATCTGCTGTCCATTAACACGCTCCGGGATGGAAATGTCACAGAGATTAAACTCGCTTCAATCCTGTTACCAGACTTACAAAACAAAAGGTGAGGTTTTAGATCTAATTTAGATTTAGATTGATCTAATTTAGATATTAACATATAATAACATAAATTCCTGATTTGTTTATGATTAGTTCTTTATGAAGGAAAACACATACATATTTAATACATGATTAACATGTCCATGTTACAGGAAATTGATCACAGACTATGGCCCTTTTAGTCATCGTATTAGCATCTGTCTCAGGTTATCTGATCCCAAATGGACAGTCGAGACAGACAGATGTTTACGCTTGGCATTTTTTTAAATTCCTGATTGCGTCTCCAGTGACGACTTTTGATCAGATTTCGTGACCAGCCCTACATTTACTATGTGGTGCTTTAATGTTGTCAGTAGAGGTTGTTAGTACCAAGCTAAATTTAATCTTAGATATATTTGAGTAACATTTTGCGTTGATTTTCAACCAATTTTTTTTTTTCAATCTAGCCGTTGCAAGTTATCTAGGTCACCTCCTCGTATTACACAATATGTACTAGAGGTGTTGCGCAATGCAATGCTATCTGTATCTGTTAACGTTCCAAATACCTATATGTTAATCTGCATTCAGATTTAAATCCCAAATGGGCGTAGCCTAAAGCAGAACTTTATTTATTTTTAAAATTGATGAGAAAATATATATCACTAAAACTCAGCTACATCAATCCAGTTTGTAACTGATCTCAACTAGAGATGTGTGCAACACTGTCATGCACTTATTATTCTGTTTAACAAATTCAACAAATTTAGTTGGTTCAATTTTTCAAAATACTGTATTATAAAGAAACTATATATATATAAAGAAACTAGTCTCCTAATTTAAACCACCACAACCCTGACCAGGCGGTTACTAAGGATCCTGCAAATGCATCATGCAGTGCTGCAGGTTCATGTTAATGAATGTGGTCTTTCTTTGTCTCACAGGCTTCATATCTGACCGAACGAATGTACAAATCCTGGTTCTGATGCACATCACAAATCTCAGTTGCTCTGTGACACTTTTACAAACAAACAAACAAAAAAAACCAGAATAGGGAGCCTCCTATTCGTATCTATATTTGTTTAGAGCACATGATCTGTTCATTCCGAATAATGTCTTCATATTCTGTTACATCCATAATACTTACTAATCCAAGAGAATTATACTGTAGCTAACAACTCTTTATTAGCTCCATATCTACTTTTCTGTGCCATACACACACACACAGCACCCTTTGATTCTGACTGCACACAGTGTGTAAGTTAAGTGTGAACGTGAAACATTCTCATATAGCTTTCCATCTCAATTGGCAACCTGCGTGATGTAACGTTTTATTGGAGTTTGAGTCAAAGTTTGATTGAGACATTCCACCGAATGGGTAACATTTGCTTTTGTAACTTTTAAAAATTAAACTTAATTTTTTATCTTTTTTCAACACTGTATCTAACAACACACATATTTCACTGTTTGAAATGTATATTGGTCAATCTCAGTCACCTTTTTTTATTTTTTTACAAGGTTTCAAATTAGGGGATAGATGCATTTTTCTCAGTCCTGTTACCAAAAATCAAGTGTCTTTTAAAAAGCATGTTAAAAAAAAATGTCAACTAATTCCTTTGTCTTCCACTCACAAAAGTGTTTATCTTAAAGAAATGGTTGGTAAAATGTTTTAATAATTTATATTTGTCACTAAAAATTCACTAAATATGCACACAAGGTGTATTTTTTTTAAAAATGCAAAGCCATTTTTTATTTTACAGGAGACCCAAACTACAAGATTATAATTTTTTAAGTCATGTAATTAAGTAAACTATTGGATAAATGATGAACATAACAC